GAAGTACGAGCAGGAGATCCTCACACGCTGGAATGTCAAGGAAGCCTCAACCTTCCCGAACTTCAAGGTCAGTGAGACCGACATGGAACCGCCAGATTCAGTGGACAAGGTGCAGATTCGCGAAGCACAAGCTCTTGCAGGGTCCCTTTTGTGGCTTTCAACCAGGTCACGGCCAGATTTGGCCTATGGTGTGGCGGCCCTCAGTCGGTTGGTGACTCGCAACCCTGCAAAGGCCATCGAAATCGGCCAGTCCTTGCTCGCCTATGTGAAGGGCACTCCTGGCGACTTGCACTATCCCCAGAAGATCAAGAAGAAATGGGTGTCAAGGGATCAGCTCAAGATCCAACGGCATGAAGGCCTACTGGAGGTGTTCGCCGACATAGCGTACGGCACTGGCTCCAATCACCGAAGCGCGCAAGGGCTAGTGATTTGTTTCGCTGGAGCTCCTGTGGCATGGCAAAGTGCCACCCAACCGTTTGTGACCCACAGCACAGCTGAAGCAGAGTTGGTTTCCTACTGTGAAGCTCTACGCACAGGTCGTGCAACGGAAGCCTTGCTGTGCGCCATGTGGGGGGAGCCGCTGGACAATTCGAATATCTTCGAGCGGGTCATCTATGGTGACAATGCCGCAGCCATCAGCCTCGCCTACGGCAATAGTGCTACATCCTGGAGGACCCGACATTTGCGTGTGAGGTCCAACATCTTAAAGGAGGCACTTGATGAGCAGGGCTCGTATCCAGGTGGCTGTTGGAAGCTGGCCCATCTTCGTGGCACTGAGCTTGTGGCCGATGGCATGACAAAGCCGCTCCTTGGCCAGAGTTTCGCAGGTTTTCTTGGTGATTTGGGTTTGAAGCCTCCGGAAGTGAAAGTGGCCAGCCTGAAGCTTGGTCAAAACGCCCCTCCTGCACCAGACCATCAGTTGGCTGTGAGAGCAATTGTGGCTGGGAGCGCCTTGGTTCGTGCAGCTGAAGCTGGAGGAAGTCAGGACTCCGATGCAGTTTTTGGAGGTTTGATGTTGTGTGGCATAGTGCTAGTGCTCATTGGGGCAATCTGGGTGGCGAAGGCGGCTGTGAGTTCTGTTGGTTGTTGCCTACGCCGATTGCATGGAGTCACTGGTGAGCCACCCAGTTCATCGGACCTGCCTGAAGCTGATGAAGGGGCCCATACTACTTCCTTGCGATCCAGGCGGGCACGTTCGTGGGGGAGGGCAGACCAGGACAAGGGGGTTGAAGCCACCGAGACGGAGGAGGAGACGGAGGAGGAAGCTCAAGCCATTCGAAGAAGGCGAGCTGCAAGGCCAAATGTTGGCGATGATCGTGATGATCGAGAAGGAAGGACTCCTATGACACGGAGAAGGTCTACGTCCAAGTCATCTAGGCGGCGATCGGGCTCGCACCACGGCACTTCATCGCGGACGATGAGAAGGAGATCGAATGAAAGCGACTCAGCCGAGTTGCAGGCAGCCAGCGAGGCTGCTGATGATGCCGTGCAAGCTGCAAGCCAGGCAGCGGAAGGTGCTGAGCGCGCCGCGGTGAGTGCACAGCAAGCCGCCGCCGCGGCCAGTCAAGCTGCGCTGAATGCTGAAGCGGCCGCTTCCATGCTTCAGTGTGCGCTGATGGCCAAGTCGAAGGCCTCACCGACGGTCCGGCCGATCCAGAGGACCAATGAAGATGAGCCGGCCAACCCGTGGAACCGATTCCAGCGGCAAAATGCCAATAAGGGCTGGAGTTTGGAAAAAACACGCGCTGAATACGACCGTGCCAAGAGCATGAACCTTTTGCCTTGAGCCTCAGTTTTCGGTGTCCCAGGATCTCGTAAAGCACGAGAGGGGGAGTCCGTTCGGTGAGAACATCGAACATGTCAACACGACTTCAGGCATTTGTGTTCGAAGAAAAGGGCGCGTTGTCTTTGTTAACGAGCTGGGAATTGGTTTCTGGCAAGTGGTTTCTGGCAAGTGGTTTCTGGGAAGTGGTTTCTGGGAAGTGGTTTCTGGGAAGTGGTTTCTGGGAAGTGGTTTCTGGGGGCTGGTTTCTGGCGAGTGGTTTCTGGGGGCTGGTTTCTGGGAAGTGGTTTCCGGGGGCTGGTTTCTGGGGGCTTGTTTGCTGGGAAGTGGCTTCTGGGAAGTGTTTTCCGGGAAGTGGTTGCTGGGGGCTGGTTTCTGGGCAATGGTTTCTGGGAAGTATTTTCTGGGAAGTGGTTTCAGGGAAGCGGTTTCTGGCGAGTGGTTTCTGGGTGCTGGTTTCTGGGAATTGGTTTCTGGGAAGTGGTTTCTGGGAAGTGGTTTCTGGGCAGTGGATTTTGGGAAGTGGCTTGTGGGAAGTGGTTTCTGGGAAGTGGTTTCTGGAGACTGGTTTCTGGCGACTGGTTTCTGGGAAGTGGTTTCTGGGGACTGGTTTCTGAGAAGCGTTCTTTTTTTGAGGGGGTGGTGGTGAAGGCCTAAGTCTAACCCACAGACATCCTAAAGAAGCAAGGCCCTAAGCCAAGCCAAAAGAAACCCTGGCCCTACAGGAGCGAAACCCTAAGCAAAACCAAACCAAACCCTAAAGAAGTGAATCCCTGAGTCAAAACCACAGACATCCTAAAGAACTGAAGCCCTCAGTGAAACCGAAAGACATCCTAAAGCAGCAAAGCCCTCAAACCAACCCCCCTGAAGAAGTGAAGCCCTAAGTGAAACCCAAGACATCCTAAAGGAGCCCTCACGTGAAGGCCTAAGTCCAACCCAAAGACATCCTAAAGAAGCAAAAGAAAACCTCAAGCTAAGCAAAAAAACACAGATCCTCAAGAAGTGAAGCCCTGAGTCAAATCCAAAGACATCCTCAAGGAGTGAAGCCCTAAGCTAAGACCAAAGAAACCCTAAAGGAGCCAGGCCCGAAGCAAAACCAAAAGAGACCCCAAAGAAGTGAAGGCTTATCCGACCCAAAGACATCCTAGAGACGCAAAGCCGGAAGCCCAACCACATGAAACCCTAAAGGAGTGAAGCCTGAAGCAAAACAAAAAGACTAAATAAGTGAAGCCCTAAGCCCCTCTCCACTGAAGCCCTAATGCCAACCCAAAAACATCCTAAAGAAGCAAGCCCCTAAGGCAAACCAAACGAAACCCTAAAAGAGCGAAGCCCGGAGCAAAACCAAAAGAGACCCTAAAGAAGTGAAGCTCCCAGTCTGCCCCAAAGCACGTAATTACCACGACCATGTGCACAAAACACAAAATGTTGAGCAAGAGATGCTGTTGAATTTGTGCCAAAGACATCCTAAAGAAGTGAAGCGATAAGGCAGGCCAAAAGAGACCCTCAAGAAGTGAAGCTCTAAGTCACAACCAAAGACATCCTAAAACAGCAAAGTCCTATGGCAAACCAACCAGAAACCCTAAAGAAGCGAAGCCCTAAGTGAAACCCAAGACATCCTAATGGAGGGAAGCCCTAAGCAAAACCAAACCAGGCCCTAAAGAAGTGAATCCCTGAGTCAAACCCAAAGACATCCTAAAGAAGTGAAGCCCTAAGTGAAACGAAAGACATCCTAAAGCAGCAAAGCCCTAAGCCCAACCAACCAGAGACCCTAAAGAAGTGAAGCCCTAAGTGAAACCCAGGACATCCTAAAGGAGCCCTCACGTGAAGGCCTAATTCCAGCACAAAAACATCCTAAAGAAGCAAAAGAAAACCTAAAGGAGCGAAACCCTAAGAAAAACAAAAACAGATCCTCGAGAAGTGAAGCCCTGAGTCAAACCCAAAGACATCCTGAAGAAGTGAAGCCCGAAGCAAAGACTAAAGAAACCGTAAAGCCGAAGCCCGAAGCAAAACCAAAAGAGACCCTAAAGAAGTGCAGGCTTATCCATCCGACCCAAAGACGTCCTAAAGATGCAAAGTCCTAAGCCCAACCACATGAAACCCTAAAGGAGTGAAGCCTGAAGCAAAACCCAAAAAAACTAAAGAAGTGAAGGCCTAAGCCCCTCTCCATTGAAGCCCTAAGTCCAACCCAAAAACATCCTAAAGAAGCAAGCCCCTAAGGCAAACCAAGAGAAACCGTAAAAGAGCGAAGCCCGGAGCAAAACCAAAAGAGACCCTAAAGAAGTGAAGCTCCCAGTCTGCCCCAAAGCACTTTATTACCACGACCATGTGCACAAAAAACAAAAGGTTGAGCAAGAGATGCCGTTGAATTTGTGCTTTTGGAGATTGTGTGCAGCCGGAACTGCCCCGCGTCAGCGATCGTCGTACATTGTTTTGCATTGTTCCGCAGACATGCGCCGGATCAGTTTTCCAGCTTAGTACAGACAAATTTCACTCCAGAGTGGTTGCCAGTCCGTCACTTTTGAAGGAAGTCTCGCACAAAACGCTCCTTCTGGAGACTTCCGCGGCTCACTTTTGAAGGAAGTCTCGCACAAAACGCTCGTTCTGGAGACTTCCGCGACTCACTTTCAGAGGAAGTCTCGTACGATACGCTCGTTCTGGAGACTTCCACGGCTCCCCTTTGAAAGAAGTCTCGTGCGAAACGCTCTCTCTCTCTCTATCTCTCTCTCTCTCTCTGTCTCTCTCTCTCTAGACTTGCGCGGCTCACTTTTGAAGGGAGTGTCGTACAAAACGCTCGTTCTGGAGACTTCCGCGGCTCACTTTTGAAGGAAGTCTCGCACAAAGCGCTCGTTCTGGAGACTTCCGCGGCTCACTTTTGGAGGAAGTCTCGTACGATACGCTCGTTCTGGAGACTTCCGCGGCTCACTTTTGGAGGAAGTCTCGTACGAAACGCTCATTTTCACTACTAGTAGCAAATGCTACCTTCGAAGCACTACCGAATGATGCGTGTTCCAAAATGAGCCGCGAAATTGGTCTCACGCTGCAGTCCCGGAGAGTTTTCCTTCGTCTGGGCTCCAAAATGAGCCAGTTTCCAAAATGAGCCGTTTCTAGGTTCCAAAATGAGCCGTGTACCGTTTCAACAGGGTGCTCCAGTTCATGAGTCGTGTTCTTCACTCACGTCGCCACATTTCCTCCAAAGCAGAACGCTGCTTTGTCACAGGCAGCTGTGAGGCACATCTCTCCTTCAGATTATGATGGATGCCAGCAGGCATGTGCTTCAGACCCAGAATGCAAGTTCTATTTGCTTGGAAAGACGGCTCAGGCTTGCACTTTGTTCCGGCATTGCAACTACATACAGGATGTTGGCTTGGAAATTGAGAATAGCTTGTACGGTATACCACCCAAGAACTCTTCTTTCTGCCGCATCGCAAATCCGGAACAATGTTGGCAAGATGTCAAGAGACGGAGCATGCTAAGTCTTACACCCTCAGACATGCCAAAGTGCCTTTTCCAAGAGCAGTTTGATGCCTGTGATGCACTTCAGTTACTTCTTGGGAAAGAAGATGGCGCATGTGCTCGTTGCCAATACATCAATACGGATCAATTTGGTCCGTCGTCTTCGACATCGAACACCGTCTCTTTGGGTATGAGCAAAGTGCCGCTTCCGGAGACTTTCCTTTCCGCTTCGCAGGTCACCATCTCTTGCAGCGACACCTCCAGAATCTTTGCGAGTCACGACGACGGTTTGAAGTGGGAAGGCCCTCGCCAAACTCCAGTGACCTTTACATGTGTCAGCGGTGTATGGATTGGCGAACCTGGTGCCTGGCAAGACCTGTCAAACTTCACGTGTTGAGCTCAGAAGGTGAAACACGTGAAGCTCAAGCGAGCAATTGCAAGCAAGTTCACCAGCACGGTTTGTTGTAGTGGCTTCGCATTTTGCAGCCCTGCTCGAATGAGGCAAACTAGTCCTTCTCCAAGTTTACTAGGGATTGCTCATGATTCCTCAATCTTCCGAAAATGCCCAAGAGCTTGCTTTTGAGTCACATAATAGTAAACAATCGAACCTAGACTAGTTCACACTGGCTTTGTTTGCTGTTCCAACACTTGGGGCTTGACCCAAAACAAAGCAGCCTAAAGAGGTGGTTTTAATGTTTTTTGGCTGTCCTTTTCACATTCTTGAGGAGGTTGGTTTGGTGTTTGCCATGCACTTGTGCGCTTTCTTTTCGTGTAGAGCTTGGCACATTCTATTGGACATGTTCGTGCCGTGTGTTACAAAGGCAAAAAGGGTGAAAAGGCATCAGAGGTGTTCAGATGCTTTCACGAAGATCGGGGTGCAATACGCTGCAGTACATTTAGAATCATTTACATTTGACATAAAGACACAAGTGACACACACTCACAATCTTGTGAAAGTGGTTTTCTGCACTGCTCACGGAAAACCATAAACGGAACGGCGCGAACTCCGCAATTCAATGGAGTCAGGTGCCAGAGATGTCTCCAAGTTGGTAGCTCAAACCTTCAGCGATTATCGCTCGTGTCAATGCCAGAAGTATACTTCCTGGAGCATCGGCGCCTTGGACGAAACCCCTGAAGATCTGCACAAAGAAAAGTCACTAAACCCGCAATCTCACCCTGGTATCATTTGTGTGCCTTAGTTCCTCTATGGGTCCAGTCGGCATTGCAACAACAGCCCGTTTAGATTTGGGAGTCTCAAATGCACTTTGTTTTGTTCTCATTGTGTTTATCGTAATTTTGGTGCGCAAGACAAGATGCCTGCGTTGCACTAAGGCAGGTGCATATCACATATCCCTTTGCCACTGTCGGCTGCTCCAGAGCTGGTGCCCTTACGGCGGCTCCACTGCTTTCGCTCGGTGCCGAGATGTACATTAATGTGGTGAACGCGGAGGACGGTTTGCACCTGGAACTACGAGTTTGGAATTGGAAAGCTTTGCTGTTATAGGAAAGTGCATCTTGGGAGTCTGGAAGTGGGATTTGATCTTGGGGAAGGCATGACACTTTGCCCATTTGGTGCAGGACCCAAGGTTGACGGTGTCCTTGACCGAACGAGAGACACTTTGGTGGATTGACACTGCTACAGAACGACTCCGTGTCAAAGCCAATGTGTTGGATTCATCACGACAGTGGTGTGTTTGTGCGGATCCTCCTTTGCGCCCATGTTGGTGCCCAGGCTCAGAGTCCTCGGAGTCCTCCTTGAAAGAGGGCGATTCCCAGTTCCTGGTGGTTGAGCGAGGCTTGCTCAAGGGACCCCAGGAAATCCAGAGGAAGTGCGTTCGGGTGGAACAGAAGGATGAAGATACTCGTTTGACTTTGGCCGATTGCCCTACAAAGCCAGATGTGGAGCAGCTTAGCTGAGAAGGTTGAGGACACGTGTGAATCAGTGCTTTCATGCGCTCCAAAAGTGGTATTGGTTTATATATTCTGTAAATCCATTCATGATTTATCATGACAGGTTTTTTGTTTGTAACATGTGGGCTCAAGGTTCAGTTGGAGAACTTTTTGCTTCGGTTGCAGATGGAGGGTGGGGCTTGCCCCACCGATGCAGCCGAAGCCGCGGATTTGCTCAATGGTTTGGCCGAGCGAGGCCTGGTCGGAAAGAGGTTGGCTGTCAGCCTCGGGAGCGAAGCGAGTTTGGCCCCTCAGCTCGCTGATGGGATGGGCATTGAAAGGAAGGCCTGGCATTTGTCATTTGTGCAAGGCCAAGTGATGTCGGCGGTCATGATGGAGGACCTTGAATCGAGGGCGGACGGCGCTTCGAGCTCAATGCAGAGCATCAGAGACACTCAACTGGCTGGCAACCGGAAGGTGGCGCAAACTATGGCACCGACTGAGCCTGAAGTGATAGTACCTCCGAAACCCAAGAGAGGCATGTTGGGGAAGAGTGTAAGGCTGCTGAGTGGCCGCATCGTGATGGAAGAGGAGGTGAGTGACAAGATTGTCGAGCAGCTGGTCAAGGAGTTGCTGGAAGAAGTTGAGAAGGCAGTGAATCCTTCCAGGGCAACAGTGGCCCTATTGTGAAAATACCGAATTTCCACAGTGAAGAGATATCTCGGGTACTGGCAGAAGTTTAGACGTTGGGCCGAGATGACATCTAAGCCTGGGAGCAGGCCGTCAGCAATGCAGTGGGTAGACTATCTGCACGCCCGTGAGGAGGAAGGGATCATCTGTGCCGCTTGCAGTGAGCTCAGCAGTGACGTGGTTCCAGAAGACCGCAGGTGTCAGGGATGACGAGGTCTTCATGAACCAGCACTTCCCTAGTATGGTAGTGAAGGAGCCCACGAGGAGGCTAGAGGCGAATGCCCCTGCACCGAGTGGCCCAGCTGCTTTTTTGCCCCAATGGAGACCATTGTGGTAGACGAGGCAATGCCATTGCAGATGAGGATCTGTGCGTGGTTCAAGCTGTTGAAGATGTGGGCATCTCTTCGGTTTGATGATGCAGCGCACCTCCGAACTGCTGATTTGAGATGATATGATGGCACATTGCAGGGGTTGATGAGGCAGACCAAAACCACCGGTGCTGGAAAACGAGTGCGTGAGCTGCCGATCTTTGTCAGCGCAACGTCATACGTCCTGCATGGAGAGTGGATTGAAACAGGCTTCCATCTTGTTAAGCTGAAGCTGCCACGGGGCCGGGAGTTTGTGTTCCCACAGGGCGTATTCTATGGAGGCAGGATCGGGTTGGTGCCTGTGACTTATGCGGAGGCATTTGCAGGGAGCCAAGAAGTCATGAAGGGCCTGGAATCCTATGAGCAGAACCTCATCCCTTCGGGGTGGGAAAGATTCTGAACCGAGCATTCGGAACGAGCCACTCTGGCCAGTGGTCTGTGTGGCCAAGGAGGACAGGGAACCCAGAGCGTTCAGATGTCTATGTGCGTACTGTAGCGCGGGAGCGCTTCGGAAAGGCGGCGGGGGGGGAGAAAGCCTATGAGGAGGCTCAATCCTGGAGTAGTCGGACGGTCCCTGAACACAAGGCTGATTCAGTGGAGGCCTGGAGGTCCGGCTGGGGCGTGATGAGCAGATCATAGTCTCCGAGGAAGGCACGACTTTGTATGGTGGAAGCTCTGAGGAAGTCGAGAAGGAGGCCCCTGAGAAGAAGCGGAAGCTGGCAGACAATCTCGGTGAGGACAGAGTGGGGAAATACGTGGTCGTGTATAGGCGAGCTGGACATGGCACCCTACACATGCTAGGGGACGGAAGCTGTTGGATGGCCAGGCGGAGGACCTTCCAAAAATCGGAGGTCCATGAACAGCTGCCAGAGCCAGGGCAGTACTCAGTGCGGTGCAAGCTGCGCTGGGGCAAGCTGGGAGAGCCCCTCAGCGAGTCCACAAGCGACTCGAACGACGATCTGGACTTGAGCGATTGAAAAGATTTCGATCGTTTGAGAAGAGAAGGATGGGAAAAAGGGGCCGTCCAAACGTCGACGTTTGGAGGGCCCCTTTTTCGGAAGAAACGTTCCTGTGCGGTTCGGGGAGGCAGTGCCATCCACACTCAGTGCAAGCTGCATTGGGGAGGTAGGGAGCCATTGGTCCGCCACGGCCAGGATAGCCTGCCGGGCAGCGCCCCCAGCGGGAGCCCCGTTCAAATTGCAGGCGAGGGCAGCGCTTTGAGAGTCAGCTTGCATTGCGTGTAAGTGAGGGCATGGTCATGCGACTCTTGAGCATTGACGTTAAGATTACGTGGAGTTGGACAACCAGAAGATCTTGTTTCGTTCTGGTTTGACGACGTTGGAGAACTTATCAAACTTTGCCAAGGACAAGGACGACCTGAGGAGCACTGGGGCATTGACCAAGAGAGGACCTGGCGGAGAGGGTGCAGGTGGCGGCGATCTATGTGAACGCAGAGACAAGGGGGTCCAGCGTGCAGCGGAAGTGGATGCAGAGTATGACGCGCAACAATGGACGAAACCAATTGTGGCCGGAGAATGGTCGGCGATGAGGACTGCCCATGGAGAAGAGGTATGGCATGATTGAGGACAAGATCACACCGGCTAAGGAGGTGGTTGAAAAGAAGTTGGCCGAGGTTGCGCGAAGGATTCAGATGGGCAGACGTTTGCCAGTCCGCCCTGGAGCCTTGTCCTGTCGTATGAGAAGGCTATCAGGGAGGAAATGGTGACAAGCCACTTGTGGTCGCATTGAAGTCGGCATGGAAGGATGGAACAGCGAAGGAGAGACACTTCACGGCCCCGCTGGCTTTGTACGCGAAGAGACCACTGCCACCTTGCAGAGAGCAGCCTCAGCCAAAGTGGCAGCAGCGGGTGAAGGGCGACAAGGGCAAAGGGGTGGCTTGAGGAGGCGGCGAGGCGGCGGACACGAAACGTTGCCGGTGGTTTTCATTGGAAGTGACCGAGGCTAGCGCATTCGAGGGGACGAGGCCCCAAGCGGTTTATTGCAGCTTTAGAACTCATGGCAACGATCGTGGCGATCAAGCTCTGGGCGAGAGCAGAGCAGAAGTGATGGCAGAAGCATTCACTGACAACAAAGGCAACTCCTTTATTGCGAAGAAAGGCCTTTCCACAAAGTATCCTATTACCTTACTGATGGTTGAGCTGGCCGAGACGCTGAGGATGACTGATTCTTTCGCGACCCTCCCGAGGGAGGAGAATACACTTGCCGATGCCTTGACCAATCTGGAGTTCGGCTCGTTCAGCAGCGGCTTGAGAGAGAAACTTGAAGAGGGTGACATGAAGTGGAAGGTCATGGACCACCTCATGGTAAGCAGCCAAGCCCTCTTCGAAGAGATAGCAGCCCACAAGCGAGGAGGAGCAGCGCTCCCAAGTCTTCGAAGAAGACGCAGAAGTATTTCCCAAGGTGGGCCTCCTGAGTGAAGTTGGGATGATCATCCTGGGAGGAGCCCTCTCAGGGGGGACGGCAGGGAGGCCATCCGCCAAAAAGGAATTCTGCATGCTTGCAAGGGTGTTTCAGAAACATGTTCCTTATTGAAA